GGAAAATGGTCTTAACAGAATATGACATTCAGTACACCACTTAAAAAGAAACCAAAAGAAGTGTACTAGCAGATCATTTGGCACATCAAGGTGTAGACGACTATTTGTCTATGAATTTCGAATTCCCGGACGAGAATATTATGCTAGTAACAGATTGTGAAGAACCTGGACCGTATGAAGGACCCGAGTCAGGATCCCGATGGACTATGGTTTTTGACGGAGCTTCAAATGCACTTGGTTTCTCAGAAGGTCATTCTCAAAGACAATATCTTCTGGCTCAGATTAGATCAAGCGTAGATCTATTATGATACTTCTTCCATTTGAAAACAAGCGTGGATATCTTCTGTCTCAGATTAAATCAAGCGTAGATTTATTCTGATATTTCTCCAAGTTGAAGACAATCATAGACATTTCCTGGCTCAAATTAAATTGAGTGTAGATTTATTCTGATACTTCTTCGAATTAAAGTCAGGGGAAAATACCTTTTGGCTCAGATTAAATCAAGCGTAGATTTATTCTGATACTTCTTCTTGTTAAGGTCGAACATAAGTATCTTCTGGCTCAGATTAAATCGAGCATATATTTATTCTGATACTTCTTCCAGTTGAAGACGTTCGTAGACATGTTCTGGCTCAGATTAAATTGAGCGTAAATTTATTTTGATACTTCTTCTAGATAAAGACGAACGTAAGCATCTTCTGGCTCAGATTAAATCAAGCATAGATTTGTTCTGATACTTCTTCCAATTGAAGACATGCATATGCCTCTTTTGGCTCAGATTAAATCGAGTGTAGATTTATTCTGATACTTCTTCCAGTTGAAGTCAACGGTTACTTTGGATGGCATCTATAAGCCCATCTCCGACGACTCACTGTCACCTCTCCAAATGACATCTATAAGCCCATTCTCGGTACAATCACCAACATCATTACTTCTTACACAAGTGAATGCAAATTTCTAGGAACTTAAGTGTTCAATCCTCTTCTACCTTCAAGTCACGAATGACGAATATGGCAATCTAACTCTTCAGGTTTAAGAAGATTGAACAGGGGAAGCTGTTGTACCCTAAAATTTTCTCTCCCATTTTTTCTTCAAGACATGCTCACAAAGGTCTCAAGTGCTCAAAGCTACTCAAGGATTGACCAGTCAAAATGCTCCTCCTAAGCAAAAGGTCTACAACTAGGGTTTTGTGCTTCTCTAGGAAGATTGGGTTGCAAGGGTCTCAAGTTATTTTCATGGTTCTCCATAGGTCTCCAACAAGGTTCATGCCAAGTTTCAAGTCCTACATCACAAGTTTGCTCAGTCAATGGCTCAGATGATTGAAAATCAACTGTATTGGGTAAAAAAGTTAACTATGGTCAACATACAGTCAAACTTCAAGATTTTTGGTCAACATCAACATTTTGAAGTGATATTCATCATTTTATCAAGGGTTGATCATGATTCCTCAAGGAAAGCCCTCAAATCATCAAAAGTCAAGAATTGCCAAATTAGGGTTTCCTTAGGAGAAGTCAACTGAACTTTGACCAAGAAAAACTTTCACATGCTTCATTAACTTTTCCCCGACCAAAGCCCATTTTGAAGGAAATTCAATTCTCTACAACTTTGTATTTATGCTCAAGTCTAAAAAATGCTTCATTTGAAAGATATGAGCTAATACATTACATGTCATTTTCAAAAGTCAACAAAAAGACACTTTTTGTCAAGGCAAATTACATCAAGATAAAGTCTCCAAATGCAAAAATTATCAAATGAGAAATTATAGAGGACATCTTGAGCTTTTCAAAAAGTCTAAGATCACCTTCAAAAGATGAAAATTGAGCAAGTTATGAGTTACACAAGTTGGGCAATTTTTGAGAAATGTATGAAATCTCAACTGAGCAAATTTGTGATTTTGGGTTATTGGGCCTAAGTTTTGGAATTCAAATATGTTCATGATATTTTTGAAGACCCTTAAGGGCATTCATGCATTATTTTAGTTTTTTATTTTATTTATTTTGATTTTATTTATTTAAAATCAAAATCAAATCAAATTAAATGCAAACTTAATGGATAAGGCATGTAAGATTTGTTGACTGAACTCTTGGAGGCCCAAATAATTCGTGCTAACTGTCACAAAACATGCCAAATTTGTGTAAGGCTCAAAAAGGAAAGAATCACTCAAAAAATGGCAAGTTTCAATATGTTGGATTTTTGTTTCATGGCCATGAATGCTTTTATTTTGTTCCATATTTGTTGCTCCATTTCACTCCTCTATTTAAGCACAACAACATCAGATCACAAGGACCACGAAATCACTGCCTAAGAGAGATCCCCAAAATTCACAAAATTCAAATGTAATTGCAAAATTTGTAACCACATTTCCAACCATTATCAATCTGAACCCAGTGCATAAATCACTCCTTGGGGATCAAAGGAGTCATTTCCAGCCCTCACACAAGCCTGAAACAAACCAGAATACTCCATTTCATCCGCACTGGTTGGTAAGTGTGGTGAGTCTTAAAATCTTAATTTCTTACGGTTTCGATCATTGCTAACACATTAGATCAGTTTATATGCATCATTAGAACAGGTCTAACGAATTACACGTGGGCTTGGGTGTCTGAATATGAAAACACGATAGTTAGGGCATGAAGGGTTATGTTTTTCGCATCTTTGTGTACACGCATTTTTAGGGTAAACGGATAACACCATTGGATTGGCAGACCCTGATTTAGGGGGGGGGGGGGGTAAGTTGAATCTTGGACTTTGATTTTTGTTCTTTCACATATTTGGTTTTTTTGCCAATCAGAGAAGAAAGAGTTGACCACCGTGAGGGGTGGTCAGACTCGCCTGAAATCTTGTGTGGCATCAAGCTATATTCTGATTCGCTGGTTTAAAATTACAGGGCCCACCACGCGTGCATTTTTTTTGTTTGGCCAAGATTAAGTTTCATTTTCAAATATAATATTTTTGTTTGATTTATATCCCAGATGTAATAACCGCCCCAACGGTAAGCACATGTGTCTTAAGGTGTTTGTGTGCTAGGGCAGGGGTTCGATCCCTGCCTCTGGCATATTATTGTTTCAATGTTTTCCTTGCAGACCCCATACAAGCAGGTCCAACGTGTGCATGGTATACCTCAATTCCACACCATCAGATCTCAACTGATCGTGATCCAGTGTTCCAAATCAGCATGCCCACGGTGCACTCCAAGGAATGGTCCATATTGAGTCTAGCACGATTTTGGGCTTTGTCCAGTTTGGGCTTATCAAAACGTTTCTGCACCCCCATTTTCTATTCTTGCAGGCCCATTTGTTTTCTTTTTTGTTTTAATTCACTATTTTCTCTTTTTTAATTAATTTTATTTAAATAAGATAAAATCATTAAAAAAAATTAGATTTAGGTTTTAGTTAATTAATTTAATTTTTATAAATAGAAATTAATTAATTTAACCACACTTTGTTATATTTTAAATAAATAGTAAATTAATTAGAATTAGGTTTAATTATTATTTCACACTATACAATATTTTTCTAAACAAAAACACCAAAAACATTTTTTTTAAATGCTTAGAAATTTTTTAGGGTTTTTATATCTTTCCCTTTAAACCATCTCTGCGCGTTTGTTTATTTTTCGCATTAATATAATTATGTAACTACTCAAAAGTTTGTAATAGATAATTAGGGTTTATTGCTTTCCTTCCCAATTTATGGTTTGTACTCCCCATCCCCGGAGCGATGTAATAGCGTAGATTATTTCCCGCATTTTTACTTTTCGCAATTATGTATTAATGCATGTATATATTTAACTGTTAGTAATAGAATTGCAAGGCAAAGGACTAAAAGCAAATGTTAGATAACCTAATCTCAAGACAAATAACTAAAACATAACATACTTGGCACACACGCACCTCTAGGGTGACCCTCACTTGTTGCCTCGGATATAAACAGTCATGTCCCTCGAACGTGGGGCACTTTAGCAAAGATCCTTTGGTTAAAAGATCGTAGTATCTTGATGACCCTTCGATGTTGCCTCAGTAAACAATCTTAGTACCTTATGATAATTGCTAAAGCCTCCTACGAGTTGCCTTTGTGATTATACAATGACCCGCACATGTACCTCAAAATATCCAATGATAGAGCTTCCTACTAACTAATGGTAGGATAGCACTATCTAAAGGAAAGGAGGAAAAGAATAAAGACCTTTTAAGTAGATAGATAGCTCATAGTCGCTTGCTCATAAAAACAAACTTTTCTCACACATACATTATTTCCTAAAATATTTTTGAAAACAAATACTTTATATGCATTCTCAACGATACGAGAATCATTATAAAGTTGTCGAACTTAGGCACTTTTCAAAATATATTTTCAAATACACAAACACAAAGCATTTTCAAAGTGAGTTAGCGATTAAGAGCTTGTAGATAACTACAGATGAAAATGGTGCTAACACCTTCCCTTTTCATAACCTACCCCCTTACTCAGCAAGAGTCGCCATCGCCAGTTCTGTCATACGGTAGGAGAACTGACTTTTAGGTTTTGCATTTTATCATAAATGTTGCGGATAGCAAGAGTCGCCACCGACTTTTCTTTTATCTAATAAAGGAAAGGGTGAAAAGGACAGAAAAGACCTTTCAAGTTCCTATTTGGGTTTTCAAATGTTGATGAAACTTTTCACAATTCTTGAGAGTGAGTTTCTATTTGCAAGTGCATTTCTCTCTTTCTTCCCAAGAGTATTAACTATAGTAGTTGTAGTTCCTTGCTCAAATCTCTCACCATTCCCCATTACACTTATTTTTTCGCCAGCTTCCGCTTTACGAGGTACCCTCCTTACCTCATGCTTTTAATAACTTTAACATTTCCTTTATCTCATTCACCATGAGTGGTAGTCATATAAGCTTGGATAATGATTCTGAGAGTGACACCTCTCTCATAGTGAGAATGGGAGTACCTTTTGGTTCAAACCATATCCTTTCATATATGACCGTTTAAGTTCCGAGGTCATATCTGTAATCGATGTTTTTTTATTTGGAAAGAATCTATGTGGGATCTCAGAATGAGGGAACTTCCTCTAGGGATTCTTCGTTCAACACCATCTTCTCTAATGACGATGATGAGGGTGATCACGTGGCTGCCTCCATGCCTCATTCTTCTCATGCTGCTGAAACTTCGACTACTTCTACTTTCCTAACTCTAGAAATACAGGTTGTTAGCTTGAGGAGGAAGCATGCTAGATATTATATTTAGTCTTATCGAAAGGTCTACAATCAGGACCCTAGTAATGTCAACATCAAGGACCATCAATAGTGTAAGGGGAGACCAAATGGAGTTTACTAGCTTAAACCTTCAGAGCATTTTAAGGTTTAAGAACATTCCTTGAAAAGGGTTGTGTTGGTGGAATCATTTGACGCAAGCAAATATAACTGGGTGGATGAAGAAATAGTAGGGACCTTATTTGTCTTAAGTACTGAGACGGCCATAGACGCGACCAACATTATGGTCAACTACCCTTCTAATTGGTCGGTCTTTCTTGTGGACTCGGAAAAAAGGATATGTAACCCCTTTGATGGGTGTTTAATTCCATTTTATGATTGTTTGCTCACCAGGATAATTATGCGGCTTCCTTTATTCTAATTTGAGGTGGTCTTGTTGAAGTACTTGAAGGTTTCCCCCTTCCAACTTCAAGTGGGCTTTTGGGCTTATGATAACACTTACTTTACACTTGTTTTTGACTCTGATTTCACATGTTATTTATGTTTTTTATTATTGTTTTCTCGTATTATGCCTATCTTTTGTTTCCTTTTCAGGTATTTCAAATATCCAGAGCTCCCCTGAAGAAATGAAGGAAAACAGGCTGAAAAACAGGAGTATAGGTCAAATTTGCACTCATGGCGTCCACCATGGCACCAGCCATAGGGTAGGCCATGACATGGACCACCTCCTGCTGACCTCAACTGCCACGTTCCCCACTTTCTTTCATTTACACTCATGACGGGCGCCATGGCCTCCATGGCGGGCGCCACCTTTGGACGATGTTTTCCGCCCCAAAAGGAGTTGGGGTCATTCCTGTGATTTCCTGCATTCCTCATTCTCTATAAATAGAAGTTCCTGATTTCATTTCAATTCACCCAAGCTTAGTTGCAAACTTGATCCAACCATAGTTGCGAACTTAAGCCATATAATTTCACCATTGTAAAGCGATAACTCTTCACATCGGGGAATTATTGCATTGTTGATTGAGTCTGTGATCGAGTTCGTAGATTGATTCTGTAATCGAGTTTGGAGCACTTCGGCAGAAGTTTATCTTGCCACATTTATTTTTAACCGCTGTTTATTTCCAGTCGCATTTTACTTCCAGTTTGTACCAGATTTAAAACCTCCCTGTTTGGAGCAGGTTTCTATTTATATATTCTGCACTACTTTACTTTTTTTTATTTCCCGCACTACTTTTACTTTGTTTATTTCCCGCACCTGCTTTTACTTTGTTTATTTCCCGCACCTGCTTTTACTTTGTTTATTTCCCGCACCGCACTTTAAATTATTTACTTTCTCGCATGATTTATTTTAATATGTCTGTTTACATTCCCATGTCAGGATGAACGTTACTGGGTTAGAATGTAAGGAATCTAGTTAGATCGATATTCCAAATAATGTGTCAATAGAAATGCTTATGGGCTATTTTGGTTTTTAATACGAGTTTTCTATACTTTATTGTTGTTGGGTAAGATCGAAAGCCGTCCAACCTTTTGTTAAACTCGGTTAGTTCTAACTGGTCAAAGGAAGCGAAAGCGCTTTCTCCGGTTAGTTTTGGGATTTTTATTATCAAAGAAATCAATTTTGAAACTATTTTCAGACGCGTTTATAGGGTTAAAGTTAAGTTCCCTTTTTATTAGAAATTCCAGATCAAAATACTTTTCAACTTGGTCAAGTGCTCTATTTCTTAAAAATAGGTTTATTACTTTAACACAATACGCGCCTTTTTATAAGTGACAATAAGAAGGCCTGATTAGAGAGTAAACTCGGTTCTGATTAAGCGAAAGCGACAGTTCCTGTTAAATTAGTTCTTTTATTTAGTAGAAAATATTGCCCTATAAGCAGTTCTATTCCGAAGCATTGCGAATATCATCTGACTACGTGAATTACATTCGACCCTGCTTTTATATCTGAAGTTTATTTCGCTGCACTTTACTTTCTTACATGCTAAATTCCCTTTTTAATATTGACTTAGCTAAACACCGTAACAATAGGAAACGATAGATTGACGTTTGGTCTCTGTGGATCGATAATCTTTTATATTACTCTGACGCGATTCGTACACTTGCGAATACACCGCATCAGCTTACATGAAGATGTTCTAATTTTGGGTAGAGTATAGGTCTTGGAAACATTCTCATCAATTGTTTTTCAATCTGTTACATGTTATACATACTTCCCAAATTGATATCCGGGATCATAGGCTTATTGATCTTCGTTAGAACCTTCTCTAGCTCGACAACTTCATTGATGCCCGAGGCAATTTTCTAAGACACTTTATGCTAGTGAGGCCATGTACTACAGAGGCTCATTTTGTCCCGTGTTCTATCCTGATTGAGTCCTCTCACTATTATAATATCAAGTTTTTGAAAAACTGGTCCTGGCCCCATTTGTGCTCTGAGCCCCACTATTACATCATCAAACTGGACTACCTTTATTCTTAAGAAGTTATGATGAGGAAGGATCTAAAGTTTCTATACCAGGGAATTGGTTATAAAGAAGGGTTCAGCTCGGGTGAAGTTTCATCTTTCTTGCATAGGAAGAAATGTATTCATACTCGTGCTATTGTGAGTGTAGTTGGCCACACAGAGATGGAATAAATCTTTGGTGAGGGTGGAGTCCTTGGGTTTTTTTGACATGTGTGTTTGTAATTTGAAGATAAAATGGATTTTTTACATAAGGTATTCGCCATTACCTCTGCTCAGGGTGTCAAGCTAGTCCCACTGGACGCTTATCACACTTATCACATTTACCAGGCAACCTTTCTGTTCTCCTTAGTTGTTGCTGGTCAGAGCGACGTCTTGGTCATGGGTAATCCTTCCATGGACAAGTTGGATGGGTAAATGTGAAGACATGGAGCGGAAGTGCTCTAAGTTTTAGGAGGATACATCTGCACTCTAGGAGAAATTTCAATGTGCCGAGGATTTCTAAGAGGAGGAAAAGATCCATGACTATCCCTCCCTTGTTGTACCCCAAAATTTGCCCTCGCATTTTTCCACAAGAAATCTCAGCTTCAGGCGTTTCCTGATTTTTTTAAAATGGCTCAAGAATCGGACAAACGGACTTTTCTCGTCAGTCAAACAAAAATTAGGGTTTTTACTGATTTTCAGGGCTCTGGATTGTTTCACACACAATTGGCTTAGGGTTGTGGTTGATTCTGGCTCAATTTTGATCAGGCGAATGTTCATTGGCATTTAATCAGGAATTAAGGTTTTATGGGCACATTCTCAGCAAATTAAAGTTCCACAGCACTTCACAAGTTATTCCAAGGTTTAGGTTGAATTCGCATTGTTTTGACTTAATCAGTAAAAGAGGCAGTTGGGTTGAATTCATGTTGTTTTGTTTGAGCCAGTCAAAAGAAGTATGTAGTTTGGATTTACAGTGCTTGGTAAGAAATCAATAAGAAAGGATTGCGTCTGTTCAGTTTTTGTGTTCGACTGTGCGTTGCTTTGAATGATGGAGACGTCGAGTTCATTTATTTTGATCGACGAAGAAATCAATGTTTAACTGATTATTTATTGTTCTAAGGATTAAATATCTGAAATTTAACTTTCATTTATTTTAATTTAAGGAACCATGAATAATAAATAAATAATTGAAAAGGAATTGAAAAGAATTAAATGAATCAATAAGAATTTTTATTTCATATTTAATATTTGTTACAATTATTATTTGGATACAAGTATTTATTTACGAAGTATTTAAAATAATAATGGTTTACAATAATTAAATTGAAAATAAAAACTGTCCTATTTTTTCTAAACATTTTCTAAAGTCCCTAATCTCTTCATTCTTCACTTCGCTCCAGTATTCCATTGTTCATCTGCAAAAGAAAAAGAGAAGGGTCAAAAAGCAGTTAAATCGAAAAGGCAGATAAAGTTTGCAGTCATCATTAAGGGCCACTGATTGGGATCAGTTAACCCTCTCTGCAAATCACGGGATTTCTCCCGGTTCACAAAGAGGGAAGAATTTTATCATGAATGCAAAATGTCAAAATGCATAAATTTAAAATGTCAAACTGCATAGTTCAGAAGTAAGTTCAAACCAAACTGAAAATCCAATTACAACTTTCTATCAAAGATCAAAAAGTGCAATTTACTGTCAAAGTATCAAAGAGTCTACACAAAAGCTGTCAAGAGAAGATTTTGAAAGATATCAAAAAGCACAAGCTGTCAAAGAAAGATAAAGATGCAGAGGAAATCTTATATGCAAGCAAGCTTTCTTTTTCTCATCATTTCCCATCAGTAACCACTTTCAGAAAGTACAGATATAAGCATAGTTTAATATTTAAACTGTACTATAGAGAGAGAAAAAAGAGGAGATAGAGGCAGGTTTTCAGGCTTAGGCAGGATAGGCAGGATAGATAGGAAGAAAAAATATACAAAAGAACAAACACAGTTCAAGAAAGGGGATATACAAAAACTGAGATACAAACTGCCTCAGCATCATAACTGTCCAAAACCAACAAAACAAAAGAACCAGAACCTGCATTATCCAAGCCAAAACAGAACCTGCTACCAGAAGCAAGACCAAGTTCAAATCTGAAGCACAACCTGCCTGAACCACAGTATAACCTCCCAACACCATAACCTGCATATGCTAAGCCTCTAACACCAAAACCTGCTAAAAATATGAGGCAAACCTGAAGCTCAACCCAAGGCCAAACCTTTAAACCTCAAGCTTAAACACATTAAATCTGCATCATTCAAACCCATCCCAAAACACCAAAACCTTCCATCTACTAGAAAGGCAGCAGAACCCCTGTCAAACATTAAACATATACATCTCAATCAAGTCCTAACCAGAAGAAAGTAACCAGCATAACCTCCATACCAATCTGTCCAGCCCTTAAGGCCTAAGCTCATAAACCAGAAACAAAGTCCTAAGCATAATACCTGCTGAACCTCATAAAACGCAACCTGTCAATAACTCAAAAGACAAAAATAATAACCAGTTGAAGCCTCAAGACCCGTCCAGCTTCAAGCCTAACCAAATACTCAAGCATTCAAGGCCACCCATCAAAAAGGCCTCAGATATGTTCATCACTGGCCATTAAAAAGCATACAGTAGCAAAGCAAAAAGGAGGAAGAAGAAAGCTAGTCAAAACAAGTGATTCAACAATAGCATATCTAGAAGCATACAGGGACAAGCCATATCAACATTGACAAGCTCAGAATAAGCATACAGAGGGTCCAACGTTAAAAGGGCAATCAAGAGGCAACAAACATTTTCAAAAAAGGTAACATCAAAGCATACTATATTCCAAACCCACGAGTCCCTCAGAAGGCTATCATCATAGGGTGGAAAAGAGGCAATAAACAGACAGTAAAGGCGAAAGAGAAGAAAAAAGAGGAAAATCAAAGAGGAGCTTTCAGATATATCATCATCATAAAACCTAGCAAAGGAAAATACAAAGGTACCAGGAAGGGCTAGCTGCATCCTCACTGCCTTCCCCGCTCGTCCCGGCCTCCTAGCGCACGCCCGGCCATCCTCTGCCATCTCCAAGGTTAACACTCCTTTTTTTCTTTCTTTCAAAAATATCCCAGATGATCATGTGAAAAAAAAACGAATTTAGAATCAAAACGAATCAAAATCATGGCATGCAGTAATCAATAAACCCTAATAAAATAAGAAAGAGGAAATCACCTTAAAGCTGTCGCCCCACAGTGTTGTTGGAGGGAAGGAGAGGTCGGAAGTGCCGGTGGCCATGGACAAGCGGGTACAAAACTCAGAAGCGAACGTGCAACGAGGAAGACAAAGAAGAAAGTATGAACGAACGCGCCGCTGTCTCCAAACCCTAACATTCCCAACTGTACAACCAAACCCTCTAACCCTAAAATTTTGTTTCAATACCTTGGGCCCAACGCGTTTTTAAGACATCCAAAACATTTTAATGTGCACCCCCCATCTTGCCTCTGATCAAAAGCCTTTCTTCTTTTCACATAAACTCAACCCTTTCCTTCTATTTAATTAAATTTTTTACATAACCATTAAGAATACATTTTTTTTTACTTTTGTTTCTTGACATTTATTTAAACATATTTTTTTTAATAAAGATACCATTTTTATGGCACCATATAATTAAATTTGAAAATACTTTTTCTTTTCTTTTTTAAAATATATATTTATACATAAATAATAAAATACTTTTTATTACACCATAATAAATATTGAAATTAATTGTCATTTAATTTGTTTATAATGAATATTGAAAATACTTTTCATTTTGTACATATCATACAATATTAATTAAAATTGAAAATACCTTTTTCTTTTAAATATTCTTTTTGTACATAACACATGAAAATATACTTTTTATACATAATGAAAACCTAGAAATATTTTCTTTTCTTAAAACATCATTTCATAATTTAATTAGAACTTGAGCATTTAATTAAAACAATTTTCTTTTGTACATATTAAAAATACAAGATCAATAATTAAATAAACGCTTAATTATTCCTTAGGTTAAATAAATACCCTAAATACACATTAATTTCACCTTGTCGCACCTGTAAATAATTACATATTCATATACATGTACACTTACACAAATACATTCACATTGCCCTATACACATTTATTTATCTTATATTTGTATATTCGATATTTACATTTGATCGCAAATTCGATTTGGTTGTAACTTATTGGATACTATAAGTCTCATCCCCATTCATACACATGTACCCCCACTCCCGGATACTATTTTGTAATAGCGTAGATTTTACATTCCGCAATTTACAGTTTTCCAATTATACCATGGTTAGACCTAGGGTTTGCATGTACATAAAATCAAACGCTAGATAACCTAATACAAGACAAATACATGAAATCAATACACAATCACACTTGCACCCTCCAGGGTAATCCCACATGTTGCCTTCCAAAATGGGCCATGCTTGCACGTCGAGTATCTTTGGCAAAACGAATTCAAAATGATCATAAGTCTCTCAAAATGTTGCCTAAACAGAATGATCATAGTCCCTCCAAAACAAATTGCCAAAGACACTTGGCATCATTGCATTCGTGGTCCATACGATGACCCGCGCCCGTCCTGAACAAACTTCCTAAATGCAAGATTGTCCATCAAATTCAATGGTGGAACAAAATTGTTAAAAAGGGTTAAAACATAATAAAAACCTTTTGAGTACAATAGGGTAGACAAAACTCTTAGTTACTTGAAATCAACTTGCAAAAACACTTGCCTTCTTTTCAAAAACCACAATCCACAACACTTCCAAAACAAACTCTCAAAACATTTTGAAACATCTTTTCGAAAAGATACACGCCTTTGTAAAATATTCGAGTAAAGAATTGTTACAAGGTTAGCCTAAGACAAGGCATCTTCTTCCAAAATATTTTCAAAAGCACTCACACACACACCATTTTCAAGCAATCAAAAATCAAGGCAAGTGATCTAAAAAACCAAGTAACTAAGAGCCCATGGATAACCATGGATGAAAAGGGTGCTAATACCTTCCCTTTTCATAATCTACCCCCCGAACCCATGAAATATCTCAAAAGGTTTTTGCTGTGCTTTTTTAACCTTTCCTTTAGGATAAAATAAAAAGTCGATGGCGACTCTTGCTCAACCGCACAAGTGCGAATACGAACGCAAAACACTAGTCAGTTATCCCACCGTATCACAGAACTGGCGACTCTGCTGGGGACAACTACTCAAAGTGGGGTTACCTTAGGGTTTAGATCACCTATTGTTTTCAATTGATTGCTTTGTTTGCTTTTACATTTGTGGGATTTGTATCGGAGTTTCATAGATCCTAACCCAGATCTGGGGGAAACCTTTTTAGGTAGCATAATCTGCGAGGGACCTGTCCGGGGTATA